AATCATTTCAGATTTAAAGAACTTTCAGAAGTTTGAATTCTGAATATTTCCTTTAAATAGAAGGGGGCCACGTTTAGCTCCCTGTGGGACGCCTGCCTCTTGTTTTCTTTTTTGTTTCGCTTCTTTGGGCTAAAAGTCGCTGGTGTCTGATGTTGTTAATGAAAATTTAGAATCACATTTTATTCAGTTTTATTTTTTTATCTGTACCTCTATAACTGTAAGGAAACATGGAGGCCTGTATTGGTGTCATGGGTAGGCGCCGCTGGTCGACCCTCATCGACGCTGCGTTTGTCATGGAGGTTCAGACGTCTTGTGAACGTTTGGTTTGCTGAGTTTCTCACAGGGAGCAGCGGGTTGCTTTTGGTCGGTCTGCTCGGTCAGCGGTTGATGTATGACCATCTGATGGCGCTCTCATATAAAAGCAGGTGTGACTGATTAAGGTCTGATGTGAACCGACAGGCGGGTATTAAACCTCCGCTCTCAGCCTCAGTTAGCAGAAGCTCCTCATCCATCTCTCCATCTTCACCTCCAGTTATTCCACTGGGGGTTCTGCTAATTCCCCCCCTCCTCCTCTTCATGATATTTATTTTTTTTATCCCCCATCGGCTGCATTTGTTGCATTGTAGAGGAGTAACGATGTTCCACCTCCTGATGTTTCCAAAAACATGCAATTCTCTTTAAACTAAAACAGTTTGGACGATAAAAAGTGTAAATTTGGTTTCTATCATCAGCAGCGGCCCCTTAACCACCGCCCCACCGGGACTTGGGTTACCTTAGCAACAAAGGATCAACATTTCTTCCATGTTTTTCAATTAGTGGGTCCTTAGGTGTGGTTGGTTGGTCTCTCTGAGGGGCCTTTAGGTCAGTTTGTGTCTGAAGGGCCCTTAGTCGGTCCCCTAAGCCTCAGTGGGTTCTTGTTCTGGACCTGTCCAGGAACGGAACCAGAATAAATGGACTCTGGACTTAAACTGTCTTTAGTTTGATCCTTTTCTGAGGAATTGGGTCAAGGTGTATCAGTCCATCTCGACAGTGGCGTAGCTGTAGGAGTTGGCCCTGAATGGAAGGGTTGACGGTTCAACTTCTTTCAATGTGGTTCTTGGGTAAGACCTCCACCTCCTTAACTGATGGTGGTCCGAGGGACTGGTGGCGCCAGTGTACGGCAGCCTCGCTTATGTCAGTGGCTTACCACCATCAGTGTGTGCGTGAATGGGTAAAATGACTGAATGCAGTGTAAAGCGCTTTAATGGAGTCTCCTGATGTGAAAACAGCGCTATATAAGTACAGGACATTTATTATTTTACCATCTCATGTTTATTCAGTCTTGGTTCCAACCAGAAAAATCCACATTTTGGTTCTTTTCATTAATACAATCTGAAAAACTCACACAGAAAGAAAAAGACAATTAGAAGACGTTAATTGATACAATTACTTTAGTCTTTGGCGTTCAGACCTCAGCAGGAAACATTAGAACTGAATTTGCTTTGATATGCATGAGCAGGAGTAAAGAACATTACACTGGAAAATTTATCTAGAAATAAGTAAAAATTTCTTAAATTAAGTGTACTTACCATTAGGGACGCACGATATAATCGGCCCCCTATCGGTATCGGCCTTAAAACTGAATATCGGACATCGACCACCCCACCGATATTTAACCCGATATTTGATCAGCTTCTGAGTTTCTAAAGTCTGAAAAAAAAAGAAAATACTACTTCTTCTTCTTCCTCAAAAACTTCTTTTTTACAGACTTAAAAACTTCTAAAGACGAGGGAAAAATATTGATACATTTAAAATACCCCAATATCTTCAT